GAATGTCTCGTTATCTTACAATATTGCTGTCGTTTCCGACACATTATTGAATTTTTATTTTATAACCGGTTTTGAACAGCAGACTCAATTCTGTATTTACGATTATCAACGTTCAACTCCATAGCTTTGAACGCATCCCAGAAGATAAAAGAGCTCCTGGATCAAGCATTGGGACAAACTAGCCACCACAGAGGATTTTTTAATGAAACTTACCAGCATTTGCTTTACATTGCACGAAAACCTCCCACGGTTAGCCTGATGAGGACTCTAACCCATGATACTGCTGAGGATATTTTACATCACTGTTGTTAGTGCGAGTCAGGTAACAAATTTGTATCGAGCAGCCATCCCTGTGATTCCAACCAGGGTCACCTCATTGAGAGGTTCTATCCCTTGAGTCACCACTGCTCACAGCATTGAGTTTATAAAAACTTAATTTAACAGAGAAATTATAAATAAAATTGTTATTTAATTTTATCTTCTCTGATACACATTATTCTAAAAAAATTATATTTTAGTTTTTTACCTTAATTTTTAATTTTTTGTTGTCTTTGTGGTGACGTTACATTATTTAATTTTTCAGTTACTCGGTGGTAATTTTTGGTCTTGCTATAAATTTTGCTTTGATTTAACTGGCACTTTTGCCATTTAATTTTTTTTTCTTCAAAAAATTTCCCGTTCCATTATTTTTAAATTATCAAGTTTATGAAAACAGATAGATTTAGAAGGGCAAAAATTTTTTATTAATTTCTTTAGTCTTGCTATGAACTGTTCTTTAGAATCGGCACTTAATTCATACTTTTCTCTATTTTTAACAAAATCCTAGTTCAAAGCCCTGCTACAAGCTATCAAATTGAATTGGCACTTAACAACACTTTCATTTATTTTTATCGTTTGTTGCTTTTCCAGATACTGTACAAAATAAGATTAATAAAAGCACGTTTTATAAGGGAAATCAAAAAAAAAAAAAAAAAANAAAAAAAAAAAAAAAAAAATTCATGGTTGCAGATAGTTTTCCCGATACTAGTTTGTAACTGTCCAGATAAGTTAGAATCCCAATTCTAATCATTTTGACCATAAACTAGCACCTATCAGAGTTAAAAACTAGACAAATCCATCAAACTATTCTGAACATTATAAACAACAATGCTCAATGGCAATCCTATGGGAGAATTAGTCTTTCACATCTCCTGCTGGTTCAGAATAGAATGCTCTGATGTCAATAATACCTTGTGCTTCAAATTATAAGGAATTTATATATATATATATATATATATATATATATCTCAAACAACGATTAAATGAAATTAAAATTATTACTTATGTATCTACTACAAACTAACTTAACTACGAAGCAAGTTTAGTTGAATAATATAATTAAATACATAAAAATGATTTCACGCTTAGTGTAAAGAAAACGACAGACTTACCTGTCAAGCTATCATAATGAACGAGCGGTTTTTGTTTAAAACAAACAGTGCAATGTTAATACAAATTGATGAAAACATGCAATATAAAAATCTACCCTTTTACCCCAACAAAACTGTTAGTGTTGTCAGTGGAAACCAATGATTGGTGAATTCAGGAAATCAAAACAGTCACATTTTTATACTGCCCTACAGACTGCACTAAGTAGACATTTACATTATGAATTGATTCCTATTAATTATTGAATCTAGTTTATTTGAAATTACCACAAACTTAAAAACCGATCGCAACCTATTTAAAATGAAGGTGAGTTAAAAAATTTTTTTGCGAGTTTCTTTATTCAAAAGGTAAATCCACATTAGCAGCAGAAATTGATTTTCATTTTGATGGTAAATCTTTATTTAAATTCTTTAAAAAATAGTTATATTCGCATTTTTGTAAGATAAAAATTAAATGATAAAGATATCGACATTTCTAAAAAGCAGCGATTTAAATTTAAATGTGACGTTAAATTGGGGAAGGAAATTTCTCTGTATCTTAACAATCGGTTTTAATGGGAATTTCATGAACTATATACAAATATATATCTTAGCAAAAGCACAATCAAATTTAAATTTTCATGAAAAAGATAAAATATTACAGTTAATAAAATTAATTGAAATTAAATAATCTAATTTTTTTGATTATTTTAAGTACTCATTAATTAAAATGTTAAATCAAAAATTGTATCACTAAATGTCTGATTTTATTTCTAAACTATGTGAAGTTTTGTCTTGTGGTTCCTTATAAAATAAAATTTTAATCAGATCATTTAAATGTATTCAGGTATGTTTTTCTTAGAATAAGGTAATCGCTTCAATTTTACTCTCTTCGGTGTCGTAAAAAGTGTTTGAATTAGTTTTGGAAAAGTATGTAAGCAATCAGTACTGATTTTTATCTCATGTATTTTAATCAACCATTTTAAATTTTGAAAAATATAAAAGTAGAGCGCTAGAACTTCAACGCTCTTAAATTTTTCGAACTATTAATTTCAATTTGTAATTCAGTTAAATTATTTTTCTGTAAAGGGTTAAAATAAAAAAGAGGTACACAGTAAAACATTCTGGTGAATAGTTGCCACCACTTTTGATCTTGATGTAAACTGAATAAATTTTTAAATACAGAACTGTATTTATCGTGCAAAAAAAGTAGATAAAATGGACAAAATAACACTTGAAAGAATTAATTCGAATATATAATATTACTAAAAATGTGCTTGGGTTTTAAACGAAATGTTTCAAAAAGGAAGCCATAAACTGCATAAAAATATATGTTGTCTGTATATAAACAAACTAAAAATGAATAAATAAATGAAACTATATCATTGAAAAAGTAAATAAAAAATGTGAGTACATGCATCTTGGAAAATGTTAGTCAACTTCAACACCAAAAATGGTGACAACTATACGTTAAAATTTTTTCACTGTAATTCCAATATAATTTACATGTTTTGACTAATTTTTTGGCGTAATTTCTATCTAAAATGTATATATATTATATAAAATATAATATAATATAACAAAATAATAGTATAAAATATTACAATTCAAACTCTAATATGAAAAATTATAATTCAAACATTTTATTTCAGATTGTTAATTTCTTAGAGCTGCTATCTTTTGGTGTTAAAAACAAAAACTCTACAATCATAAGTTTTTCTCATACATATTTAACATAATGTTGAAAACATGTTTCTTCTTTACATAGATCACAAAGCATAACTCTTAAATGCTTTGTTACCTTAATGTGTATTATAGGTTTTATTTTTAAAAAAAATATGGATAGATGTGAATATAGTTGAATTTTATAATTTTTTTTTTAAATTACACCAAATTCTATAACTACTTGAAAGACATTCCAGAACAATTTACAATAGTTTTTAAGATGAAACTTATTTCGGATATTTTAAATGTACATTTATCTCTTTAAGATATATTATATAGAGTGATATAATATATTATTTCAATTTTGAGAAAACAAGCTAGAAGACTGAGAAAAAAATGGCCAAAATATTTAGAAAATTTTTCATACACAGAAAAAGTAAATAATAATAAAGACAATCTAAAAACAAAATCAAAAGTATTTGTGTAGAATTTAAAATGAAGGGAAAAAAAGAATATTGAGAAAATGAGTTTTAACAGATTTGATTGCTAAAATATTGACAATTTTAAGATAACGTTTTCATTAAATTGTGACAACAAAACTTTTTTCTGTGTGGGTGGAATATTGGTTTTAAAATTTTGACCACTTTCTGACAAACTAGAGCTGTGCTTCTGAACCTGATATACGTTAAGGACTCTTAAAATATTTGCTTTTATCACTGATCGATAAAGTTAGTAATTTGGATTATTGGCTTAGTTTTCTCAAATGCAAAATTGCAGCAATTAAACAATTTTTGGACCGATTTGTTTTTGATTCTTCACACACTCTCTTACAATAAAAAGTATTTTGATCACTGAAACCTATTTCAATATAAATAAAATTTATATTAATTAAAATACAAAATTAATTTTGCTGTTTTTATAACCAAACAGCAAACCCAAATCACGTAAATAAGTGCAGGTAGCAAAAAATAAATAAATAAATAAAATGAAATAAAATAAAAAATACAAGTAAATACGAAATAAATAAAAGAAAATAATTCTTATTCTTTGAAAAAAGACTAAATTTAATGTTACTGATGTTGCTGACATATCAATTCCAAGTGTCAAAGTAGTTACACAAACACGTAAAGCAAATACAAGATTAAGTCTTGGTGGCTCAGGAGATTGAGCACTTGCCTCCCAAGGTGATCAGTTTTGAATCCCAGAGATAACTTGTCGTTTTGAATTCCACACCCAGCTCGCACCGACCGCAGTGCTGACGTAAAAATATTCTCACTGGTAGGCGGATCATGGTTTAAAATCCCTTTGTCGTGAGGTTAGTCATGGGAAAACTAATAAAATGTTTCATTAAAAGGGCGAAAAATAGTTTCTGTTATGCATTATCATATTTCACGCTGTTAAAAGAATATGTAAAAATTATTGCAAAAAACTTAAAAGGAAAAAAAATTGCTTGCTGTCATTTTATGCGTATGTGACTTAATTTAACATTTAAAAGAAGATTATTTCAAGAACCTTATTGAATTTAGATATTTTATTACAGTATAAACTTTTTTTAAACTAATTTATTAAACGTATTCTATTATACATGATGCATTAACATGTTTATTCGTTTGTTTTGAAATGTCAAAGTATCTACGCATCAAAAGTTGAGTGCTAATTAATTTGAAAAATTTATTAAACTAAAACAAATTAACACTGTTGTGTTTTCTTCTTTATTTTAAAATATTAAATTAACATTATATATTTATAAAGTTTTCTCTTAAAAAATTGGTTGGCGGATGAAATTAACTTAATTACCACCAAAGAAACCTCCGTATATTTACTATTATTCTATTTTAGTACAATTTCAATTTTAAGAATAAATAAAATTTTGTTGTGTGCAAATAGTCACAATGCCGTGAAATCTTTATGAATTATTTATAAATATACCTGATTTCAAGACTTGGCTACCCCTTTGAAGGTGATTTCGAATCATGCAGCTGTTTCAGGCGGATGAATACCAATTTTCCCGATTCTTTACTCAGATAAAAGGTGAAATTAAGCGACAAATAGTGCGCTGAATAACGGAAAAGAATTTTAGTTTTCAATGTGCGCTGGCATTTGTAGAGAAATTCTCACAAAACGGGAATAAATCTTTGAGAAATAGAACAGGAAAGTTGGATCGATGTGAGAATATTCTAATGAAGTAATTTTCCTGAAAGTATTAACAGGAGAGACACAGGATTTAAGCGATGATCGTATTTCTAGACGGGATCAATAATTCGTGGGAATAAGGAAAACTGTAACTCGAAGGTAGCGCCCCCATAGGTTAAAAAAAAAGCAGAAACCTACTCAAGATTTCAATGTTATACGTGCGACGTACCAAAAGAAAAGAGTTTTTATTTCAGGATAAAAGATTGAAAACTTGTAACTAGTTTTAGTATTGATTTTGAAATGTTACGCTTGCAGTGGTTGCGTAAACTAAAACGCATTGTAATTGTGAAATATTTAGTAAATAAAATAAAAAAAATTGCAAAATTTCGCAATCCAGTCGATTCCGAATTAAACTTCACGCAATAATAAAGAGTTTACCAATAATTTTTATTAGTTACGAAATATGGTGTAACCAGATAATTAATAAATCAAATTTGCATTGAATATCACATAAATTTCTTTTAAATTGACGCTATATTGATGTTATGGTTTTATTTTACGCAACTAATGTTAACCCTTTGACGCAGAATTTCTATTAAACATATTTTTCATACTTTTTTTCATTAATTTAAAGTAATTTAGGCCAAAATAAGTAAAAAGCATTATATTTATCATTTGAATTATTTATGCTTATAAAACACAGCATGAAACAACGGTGTCTTTTTTTGCGTCAAAAGTAAAATGTTCTGAACACATCCGAATAATAATTTTTCAAATTTGCACTTAATAGCAGTTATTTAGATCTACAAGAAAGTTATTTATCATTGAAATTTCTCTAATTTACAAAATCAATTATTGATAAAATTTTGAATATGAACTACTTTTTTGTATTATATATTTTAGTACAAATACAATTCCGATAATCTAATAGATTTTTTTTAGTAATTATTAGATTTTATAATTAAAATAATGCCGAAATATATTTTTGAGTATAATTAGAGGTTCAGAAAAAAGATATATAAAAGGAACACTAGAGTTCTATCTGTGTCAAAGGGTTAACGTATTTTAGAAATCGCACTAGTGAAGTGATTAATGAACAAAAGAAATCATAAATAATCGCAGTCTGCTGGTATTATAAATTGTCGCGTTTCATTATAAAACTTCACTCAAAAACTGTTACAAAACACACTATTCTGTATCTTGTAACCAGAGAATTATTAAATCAAATTTGCATGGAATATCATATAAATTTATTTTAAATCAATGTTATGTTGTTTTGTTCTACACAACCACTGTTGACTTATTTTAGATATCGCACTAGTGAAGTAATTAGAGAACAAAAGAAATCATAAATAATCGCAGTCTACTCGTATTATAAATTATCGTGTTTCATTATAAAATTTCACTCAATATCTGTTACAAAAAACTATTCTGTATCTTGTAACCAGATAATTATTAAATCAAAATTGCATTGAATATCACATAAATTTATTTTAAATCAATGCTATGTTTTGTTTTACTCAACCACTGTTGACTTATTTTAGATATCGCACTAGTAAAGTAATTAGTGAACAAAAGAAATCGTAAATAATCACAGTCTACTTGGATATAAATTATATAAATTATCGCGTTCCATTATAAAACTTCACTCAATAACTGTTACAAAACACACTATTCTGTATCTTGTAACCAGAGAATTATTAAATCAAATTTGCATTGAATATCGCATAAATTTATTTTAAATCAATGTTATGTTGTTTTGCACAACCACAATTGACTTATTTTAGATTTCGCACTAGTGAAGTAATTAGTGAAAATAATAAATAATCGCAGTCTACTCGTATTATAAATTATCGCATTTTTGATATAAAACTTCACTCAATAACTGTTACAAAACACACTATTCCATATCTTGTAACCAGAGAAGTACTAAATTAAATTTATATTGAATATCAAATAAATTTATTTTGAATCATAGGAAATAAGATTTCATAACTAAAATTTATTTATAAATTTCATAAATTTATTTATAAGTTATTAAAACCACTTCCCTGTAGATAAGTACAAATTGTAGGTTTTCTAAAGATTTCATATGCTTAATAATAAATTTTTATTTCAGGATAAAAAATTTAAAATCTGTATCCAATTTTTATATTGATTTTAAAATGCTATGTTTCATTTTATGCACCCACAGTTGATGCATTTTAGAAAATATCGCGTTAGTGTAATATTTAGCGAATGAGATAAATCTTATAAAATTACAACCCACGCGTATTATAAATTATCTTGATTTATTATGAAACACGCAATAATAAAGAGTTTACTGATAATTTTTATCATTAGTTTTGAAACTTACTATTCTGAATCTTGTTACCAAAGAATCACTAAATCGAATTTGTATCGAATATCACATCCATTTTTTTAAATACAAAATAGCAAACAAGGTTACATAATTAAAGTTATTATTTTTAATAAATTTTTAAAACCATACAAACCATTGTTAAAACCATAAACCAAGTAGAAATCATAAGTTTCCTTAAGATTTCATTTTCTTATCGATAAAAATTTCGGGTGAAAATTTGTGTCTAATTTGTGTATTGATTTTGAAATGTCATGTTGTAATATTTAATGCAACCTAAACGCAGTTTAGAAATTATCGCTCTAGTAAAATATTTAGAGAATAAAAAAAAACCCACAACCCACTCGTATTATAAACTTCATGATTCAATCAGAAACGGTTCCTTGGGGTATTCATCAACTTTTTCTTCGAGGTTAATATCTTCCCTACCTGAACTATGCATGATTCTTTATCGCCTTACGAGATCATCGCCAACAAAACCAATTATTTTTATTTTTTGAAATGCCGGATGCTATTTAGGCAAAGTATGAAATAATCGTTCTGATGAGGTTATTATGTAAATGATGTGCATGTTACTGTGAATGACCGAAATCGGTGGTTGTTGACTTTCACCGGTGAATGTTGACAATCAAATTAGTCGCTTTGATGAATGTCCGAAATATTTATTACATCCGATTTTATATTAATTTATTCGTGGATATAATTACNATTTAATCGAATTTGCAGTGGCACTTGACCTTGAGAAAACATCAGTGTAGGGTATACCGGGCAAATGTATACCGGGCAATGGCACTTGAACTTAAAAAAAACATCAGTGTAAGATATACTGGGCAAATGTATACCGGGCAATGGCACTTAACCAGACCTAGTATGACTAGACCTTTGGTAAATGTCCGAAATATATACTAGGTATAGTGCCACTTTTGCTATAGCTTAAATATTTAAAAAAAATTAAACAAAGAGTTTGAATCAATTTTAAACTGATAATGAAATTATTGCTTTAAAATTTAAAAAAATAATAAAAAAAACTGTGCCATATAAGAGTAATTGAAGTAGTTGCTTTATACAGCGCATGTGCGGAAAAATATTTTTAAAAAGAATTACCCAGGTGCTTCTAAAAGTGGATGAATATCCCAAGACACCATCAGAAACTGCAAGCAATAATAAAAAGTTTAATATTAATTATTACTAGTTTTGAAACTTAAGTTGCTAAATCTTATAACTAGAGAATTAAGAAAATCAAACTTGCAATGAATATGACATAAATATATTTCAAATGACAGCAAATAAGACAGGAAATTGAAATTAATAAGTAATTAAAATATCTTCTCCTTAATTACAAAGCGTAGGCTTTCTAAACATTTCATTAAGTGATAAAAAATATTTTAATTAAGGGTGAGAGATTTGAAATCTTTAGTGCACTGTTGCTCATTTTTAAGATAATTTGATTGCAATGCATGCATTACATTAATAATTAAAAGAAAAATAATTTGTAATTATTTTTAAAATTATTACAATGGTAAAATAGTATAATATATGGTATATACTCTGCCTAATTATTCCACGATATATAAGATTAGAAATTGTATAATAGTTTAAATATAGTTCGTAATGACCACCCTTAATGAAGTTTCAGAATATTTGTCAAAAAAGAATTACATAAGTATGTAAATGGAAGTCGAAAAGTGATATTTTAGGGAGTAAGAAACAAAAACGATGTCGAAATCTAATGAATCATTATTGAGGGAGGCGGGACTGCAAACCTTTTTGGTTGCTGGAGGGAGTTTAAAGGCGTTTTTCGTAGCCGGTTCTTTAAGAATCAGACAAGGTTGGATATTTGTCCTTTTTCATTTTCTTGAAATTTTTTGGTTATGTCCTTTAGATTAAACTATTAGACAAGTGATTTTTTATTCTACTTTAGAGGAAGAAATTTTGAGAAAAAATTTTTTCCGCTAAAGTTAAAATTTTTGGAGAGTTAAAATTGAATGTCCTCTAGAATTTTGAGAAAAACACATTTAATTACATACGGAAATACTTTTCTTGGGAAATGAGTAAACCGCGGTACTAACCATTATTTGATTTCTTTACTTCTACGTTGCAATTTTTGTAGCAAAAAATTTAAAACATTGTGATAAAAATGAGACTTAGAGTTTAAATATGACAAAGATTTTACTAACGTAAATAATTTTCAGCGAATTAATGTAATAGAACCCCTTATACGAGTTTGAAATCGTATAATCGCATAAGTCTTTGAGTCGTTAAGTATTCGATGCACTTCTGTAAGTTACTATAGCTAAAAAATTTTACATCTATATTAATAAAAAGTAAAGCATTATCGCAACAGCTCGTTGGTTAAAGTTTCACAATTCTGTATCCAACAAAATGATTGTATGAAATGTTGTCAGCACTGCGCACAGACCACCTGTATAGTTCGTTCACCAGGAGTTGGCACTTGGCCACGCCTACATCACGTGATATCCGACGATACAATTTCGCTGCTTTTGGGAGAATGATGTGAACAATCCTGAACAAGGTTGCTATTTGGCGATCGTATGACAAACATATTTATTTCGCAATCCTTATGTGCATTTTTTAAATATTAAATATTTCATAATATTGATTGTTGATATTTCTTTCTTTTGAGTGAACAGTTTGTCTTTTTTGAGACATTTTACTGGGAAAACATTTGTTTTTAGTTTTAAAATATATTTAATTACCTAGAGTAACGAGTCCCGCAGTGGACTGATCGCTAAGACACGGTTCCCAGCAGATCACCGAAGTCAAGCATCACTGGCTACGGTCAGTGTGCGGGT